GGGGCTGCTCTCATGCCATTCTCTGCCCAGCCTGTATTTGTGCTTGGGATTGCCCCAACCCATGCACAGGACCTTGCAATTGGCCTTGTTGAACTTCATGAGGTTCGCACGGGCCCACCTCTCAAGCCTGTCAAGGTCCCTCTGGATGGCATCCCTTCCCTCCAGCGTGTCGACTGCACCACACAGCTTGGTGTCGTTGGCAAACTTGCTGAGGGTGCACTCAATCCCACTGTCTGTGTTGCCGACAAAGATGTTAAACGGCGCCGGTCCCGATGACGACCCCTGAGGAACGCTACTCGTCACTGGTCTCCACTTGGACATCGAGCTATTGACCGCTTTGAGTGTGACCATCCAGCCAATTCCTTATCCACTGAGCGGTCCATCCGTCAAATCCATGTCTCTCCAATTTAGAGGGACAGTGTCAATGTCAAAAAGAGTTTTCTCTTTATGTTCATCCTGGTTAGTCCCCTCTCGGGCGAGGACCCGAGCGAAGCAGGGGCATCCCTCCTTCCTTGAGAAACTGCAGTGCTGCAAAGCTTTTGAAGCATACCATGCACGGGCTGCCCATGCAAACACGTCACCCCCCGACCGCAGCACCGTGGGCAGGATCAGGCACTTGGTGTCCGGCAGGACTGCCTCGCCCACCACCTCTCCAGCTGCCTGCAGAGCTGCTGCTCACGCTGCCAGCCCACGTCTCACATGCATCAGCCTCAGAGTCAGCCGAGAGGTGGGCGGAGGGGCTGCCCGTGCGGGGATGCTTCCGGCAGGCGTCCAGCCAGCGCGGTTCAACCCTGCCCTGCCTGTCCCTCTGCTGTCCTGGGCTGTCTGCCCGGGCCGGGGACTCGTGATGCTGCTGTCATGGCAGGGTCGAGCCCTCCCACCAGCCCTGCCAGGCTCCTCCATGGAGCTGCTGTTGCAGTTTTCCGTGAGTTGTGGCTGGCTGTTGAAGGGACAGCGTGTGGTTTGTGGGACGCGTCTGACTGTCACCACATCTGTGTCGCAGGTGTTGGCTCCTTCCTCCTGTATTCGGTCCACGAGGGGATCCGCGGCATTCCCCTGGACCCCAACGACAAGTCGGATGCTCTCGTGCCCGTATCGGGGACCTCCCTGGCCGTGGGAATCGACTTCCACGCAGGTGACGCAGGGGCTGGGAGCAGGACAACAGGGCTGGGAGAGGTTGGGGAGGGGGAGCGCAAGAGGGACCATCACCAGACCCTCCTTTGGCAGTGCTCTGGCCTAGAACATCTCCCCTCGGCAGCTCCTGGTGAGGGAGGGTTTTGGGGTCTCAGCCCGGGTCTGTGCCACCCTTGGGGTGACGCAGAGGTGGTCACTGACACCTGCTCTCCTGCCTGGCTCCTCTCAGAGAATGACACCATTTACTGGGTGGACATGGGTCTGAGCACCATTAGCCGGGCCAAGCGTGGCGGGAGGATGTGGTCACCAATGGCATTGGCCGCGTGGAGGGCATCGCCGTGGACTGGATCGCCGGTGAGACAGGACTTCGGAGCAGGGAGGAGCAGGTGGGCAGTTGGGGAGCAGGGCTCGTGTGGGCGTTCACCGTCCCCTCTCTGCAGGAAACATCTACTGGACAGACCAGGGCTTCGACGTCATCGAGGTGGCCAGGCTGAACGGGTCCTTCCGCTACGTGGTCATCTCGCAGGGGCTGGACAAGCCGCGGGCCATCACAGTCCATCCAGAGAAGGGGTGAGACACGGCACAAAGCCGCCTGGTGAGGGCCATCAGCTGGTGGGTGGGCATGTGCCAGAGACCCCGGCACCCTCCCGGCAGAGCTGTGCAGTTTACGCGCAGTGGAGAAGGACTCGTAGGTCTCCTGCTGCACCAAGGGACAGGCCCCTGGTGTCCAAACCAGCTGGGTTTAACCGCCCTTTCACTGATGGGCTGAGCTTCCTGGGAGCGCCCCGTGACTTCGTGGGTGCCAGCACCTCAGAAAATCCAAGTGGAGCCTCCCCAGACCGGCTCCAGCTTTGGAGAGAGTCACAGGGATAGGAGAGTTGTTTGGATCTGGGGAAGAATGCAGAACAGCACTTACGTGCCTGGCACCCAGGCTGGTTTCTGGGCTGCATCCAGCTGCAATGCAGCGCTCCTTTCCCCAGCTGCAGCGTGGTAGGCAAGCAGGAGGCTGGCAGATCACCAGGGTCTGGACTGAGGCGCCGGTGTGGAGGGATGAGGGGGAGAGGTGTTTGTCCTCTGCTTCGATGGCTGAAAGGCCCAAGGATGCTGCTTCTGGCCAGGCCCATGGTCACATCCCTGCTGTCCCCTGCAGGTATCTGTTCTGGACGGAGTGGGGGCAGTACCCCCGCATCGAACGGTCGCGCCTGGACGGGACTGAGCGGATGGTGCTGGTGAACGTCAGCATCAGTTGGCCCAACGGGATCTCCGTCGACTACGAGGTACAGCCACGGCTGGGAGGACAGTGCCGCCCTGGGGCCTGGCCGGGAGCGTGCTGGTCCCAGGGATCCCTGCCGCCGTGCCCCTGCTGGTGGGGCCTCTGGGGCCATGGCTGCCCTCCCCAGGGCCCTGGAGTCTCCTCTCCAGTGCCGGGAGGGTTGCCCAGGGTGGTCGACTTCTGAACCCTGGGACCTTCTGCCGGACGTGGTGGGAGGTGCGCAGGGTGCCTTAGTGCCACCCCGGTGCGCTGCTCCATGGCTGACTGGGTTGCTCTCTCATCACCTCAGGATGGGAAGCTTTACTGGTGCGATGCCCGGACAGACAAGATTGAACGAATTGACCTGGAGACAGGCGAAAACCGAGAGGTCGTCCTGTCCAGCAACAACATGGACATGTTCTCGGTGTCGGTCTTCGAGGAGTACATTTACTGGAGCGATAGGTACGGTGCCTGAGGGGTCCAGCGATGCCAGGGGTGCCCCGGGCACTGGCTGTGCGAGAGGGTGGGGGGAGCTGGCAGGTGCTATGGAGAAGGTGGTGGAGCTGGGTGCTGCTGAGGTGGGCCCCGCATCGGTTGCTCAGTCACTCTGTCCTTTCTTAGGACTCACGCGAATGGCTCCATCAAAAGAGGCAACAAGGACAACGCTACTGAGTCAGTGTCCCTGCGGACAGGGATCGGCGTGCAGCTCAAGGACATCAAAGTCTTCAACCGGGCCAGGCAGAAGGGTGCGTCCAGGAACGGTCAGCCCCTTGGGCAGTGCTGCCGAGTGCCGATGGCTGCCGGGCTGGGCTCCCACAGCGGGCAGATGCGGGGAGGGGCATGGAAACAAACAGGCCACTGTGTCCTCGTCAAAGAACTGTGTCACGCTGTGGGCTGAGCCCATTTCTTCACCCGCTTCCTCTGGGAATGGGAAGAAGTGAAAAGCGGCCGAGCGGGAGCATCCTCCTACACAGAGCCTGCCTGGTCCCTCGAACAATCCCCCCTTTCCTCCACAGGCACCAACATCTGTGCCCAGAGCAACGGGGGCTGCCAGCAGCTCTGCCTGTTCCGGGGCAGCGGGCAGAGGACGTGCGCCTGCGCCCATGGCATGCTGTCGGAGGATGGGGTGAGCTGCCGGGACTACGACGGCTACCTGCTGTATTCGGAGCGCACCATCCTCAAGAGCATCCACCTGTCGGACGAGAACAACCTCAATGCGCCCATCAAGCCCTTTGAGGATGCGGAGCACATGAAGAACGTCATTGCCCTGGCCTTCGACTACCGCTATGGCTCTAAGGGCAGCAACCGCATATTCTACAGCGACATCCATTTTGGCAACATCCAGCAGATCAACGACGATGGCACAGGGCGCAAGACCATTGTGGAGAGTGAGTGTCACAGGGCTCCCCCTGCGTGCATCTGCCCTCAGACCCCTCTCTTTGTTCTCCTCCGGCACCTCTTCCTGAACTCCCTCCTTCCTTGCCCAAGGGCTTTTTTTCCTTTTCTCAATTAACGTTTTCTGGTGTTTTCGAGAGGCATTTTGAGTGGTAGCTGTTAAGGGTTCAGCTGTGAGCTTTCTACTGGAGCCTCTGGAAGAGGCAGCAGCCTGTGGTAGAGGACGCAAGTGTCAGGAGCAGTCTGCAGAGCTTGTTCTGGCAAGGAGGGTGTATCACGAGGCTCAGGCGTGCACGTGGGTATGTGTTGCTCTAGAAACAAGTCACTGCAGCAAACTTGGGATCTGCTCTGTGTTCGCATTTGACTTCCAAGACAGACCCGTTGAACCTGAGCAAACCTTGCCACGCCTGGCCCTGTCTTAACCTTCAGCCCTCAGTTTGCACTTGGTTGGTTTCATTGGCTCCTACAGCAGTTGAAAAGACCACGTCCGTTGCTCTGCGTCACTAGGGAGCACCTCCAGCAAGGGTTATAGATGTGCTCCCTAATGAATGTATTTACATTTGGCACTTGGGATAGCTGTTATCACTGAGATCAGGAGAGCAGGGCCCATCTCTCATAGCCGGTTCATTAAACCTTTTGCTGGTCATTAACAAGGGAGGAAGGATGGGTGTACAGTTCAAGTTCCTAGCCTGGGAGCTGGAGGGAAGGTCTCCCTGGTTGGCCACGAGTCTTCATCTTGTCACTTTGTGCCTCTGGGCCTCAGCTCTTCCCTGGCAGAGGGAGACCCTTCCCTTCCCAGTGCCGCTGCTGCGGGGACAGGGGGACCCGAAGCAAGGCTTGGCCAGCGCAGGGGAGATGATCAGAGCATGAGCTTGAAAGCCAAGCTCGTTTCATCGTAGGTGAACATCACTCAGCCTTCCTGCAAGGAAGCGTTGTTACCTGGTTGGTAGCAGAGGTCTGCCCAGGAGGCCCCAGAAGTCTCCTGGGGTCTCAGCTCACCTGTTAGCACAGACACCAGCCCAGCCCTGCTGAGTCCCCTCAGGTGCTGCCGCATTGGCGCCGTGTTCACAAGCAGCCAGAGCCTCTGAGGGGTTTTTTTGGGGTGTAATTAAAAGCAATAACTTCAGGCTGCCAAAGAAGCCGCGTCCAAGTGTCGCGGTCAGCACTGGCTGTGCAGAGTGAGCCGGGCAGCCTTGCAGGAACATGGGCTGGATGCGACCCTTGCCTGTCCTCCCCTCCTGCAGATGTGGGCTCGGTGGAGGGGCTGGCGTACCACCGCGGCTGGGACACGCTGTACTGGACGAGCTACACCACCTCCACCATCACCCGCCACACCGTGGACCAGAGCCGCCTGGGGGCTTTCGAGAGGGAGACGGTGATCACCATGTCAGGGGACGATCACCCCCGGGCCTTTGTGCTGGACGAGTGCCAGAAGTGAGTGGCCGGCGGTGGTCCCGCCAGCTTGCCCGGGGGTCCACGTGGGCCCAGGGCCAGGGCCGCGGCGGCC